TTGGTACCAGGAGTGGGGTGTTACTGTAACAGGCTCAATGGTGTTGGGTATTTGGTACCAGGAGTGGGGTGTTACTGTAACAGGCTCAATCGTGTTGGGTATTTGGTACCAGGAGTGGGGTGTTACTGTAACAGTCTCAATCGTGTTGGGTATGCAGTACCAGGAGTGGGGTGTTACTATAACAGGCTCAATCTCGTTGGGTATTTATATGTTTGTTTGGTTTTAGGCATATGGAGGACTTGGGACTTTGAACTGGAAAAGTGATTGAAAGCTGTCAGCAGAGCTTAATGAGGACTTCAAAGACAGCAGTACTGAGCTGCTCAGACTGTGGAGGCCCCACCCAAGAGGTTTTAGAGGCAATCATGTTGACAGTTGGGCTAGAAACCATTCTTGTGATATTTTGACAAAGACTATGGCTCCTTTCTGCTTAAGAATTTGCCCGAAGCGATGCTGAGAACTAATGCACTCTCACAATGGCTCCCAGTTGCCTGTAGCTCCACATCCAGTGCTGTTTTATGGTCTCCTTGGTTACCAGGCACGCACAAGATACACATACACACATGCAGGAAAATACATAATAAATAAAACAGCCTTTTTTTTTGTTTTTTGAAACAGGGTTTCTCTGTGTAACAGCTTTAGCTATCCCAGAATTCACTTTGTAGACCAGGCTGGCCTCGAACTCACAGAGATCCGCCTGCCTCTGCCTCCCAAGTGCTGGGATTAAAGGCTACCACATCCATCTAATAAAACTGTTCTTTTAACAAAGCTTATGTGTATGAGTGTTTGCCTGACTACCTACCTGGATGTATGTGCACTCCATGTGTGCCTGATGCTCTTGGAGGAGAGAAGTAGGCATTAGACCCCTCAGAGCTAGAGGTAGAGACAGTTGAGAGCCCCCATGTGGGTGCTGGGAATCAAACCCAGGTCCTCAGCGAGAGCAGCGAGTGCTCTAAACCCCTGAGCCATCTCTCACACCCCCTCTTTTGCTTATTTGTTTTGAGACATGGTCTTGCTATGTAGCTCAGGCTGTCCTTGAACTTCTCATCTGTCTCTAACTCCATAGTGCTTGGATTACAAGCATGCACCCCCATGCTGGGTTCTAGCTTACCCTTGGAACTTTGACATCCTTGTGATTGCTAGGCATTAGAGTCACACGGATAACATCAGATTCCCTGCAGGCTGCACTGCTAGGCTGTGAATGTTGGCTGTGTCAAATACATTATTTTATTATTCTATTTTATAGATATGTGTGTGGTTCTGAGTGTATGTATGTGCACTCTATGCATGCAGGTTCCCAAGGAGGCCAAAGGTCAGCAATCACCTGAAGCTGGAATTACAGGCAGCTATGAGCCTCCTGTTGTAGGTGCTGGAACCCAATCCAAGTTCTCTGTAAGAGCAGCAAAAGCTCTTAACTGTGGAGCCATCTCCCCAGCACCAGCATTAAATATGTGTTTAGTTTTGTCTTAAGGCAGGTTTATCAGGACATGACCAATCGTAAACAGAGGAGCATCTGTGTATAGACACACAGGAGGAAGTTCATTTTAGCAGTTGGCTCCATTGAAGCAGAGTCCCTTACTTGTTTGAAGCTGTTGCTGTTTATAGCTGGTCCCTGAGCTTCTGAAAATTCTCCTGACTTTGCTTCTCGTCTAAGTCTGGGATTGCAGGTGCTGCTGTTACCACACGGGCTCTGGGGATTCGAACTCAGGTCTTCACACTTCCATGGTGAGCACTTTACCCACGAGTCATCTCCCCAGCCTTCTGTTTACTTACTTACTTATCAATGTTTTGAGAGTCTGACTGCATAGTTCACAATGGCCTGAGACTTGGTGTCTTCTTGTCTCGGTTTTCTGGGTGCTGGGTGCAGGCAGGGGCCACCACCCTGGTTAATTTCTTTCACTCAGTCTACCGATTCTGTGATGGTTTCTTCCAGAAACACTCTCACACAAATCTGCAAAATGTCTGATCAGATGTCGGATGTGTCTCAGGTCATCATGTTGACATACGCTTGCTTGTCCAGTGCTGAATATTGGGATTATTATAAAGATGGAGATTTGGGTCTCTGCTTTCCACTGGTTTTTGTCTGCGTCCAGAAGTAGTACTGTCACGCTGTGTGGTGAGTCTGCTTAAGTTTTTATTTTATTTTTCATATTTATTTATGGCTTTTTGAGACGGGTTTCTCTGTGCAGCCCTGGCTGTACTGGAACTAGCTCAATAGACCATGCTGGCCCCAAACTCCCAAAGATCAGCCTGCCTCTGTCTCCCGAGCTGGAATTAAAGGCCTGCCCTGGCAATGCTGCTCATCTTTCCCCAGGAGAGCTATCTATCCCTCAGTGGCTGCACTGTCTTATGTTCTCACTCACAATCACTGAGGTTCAGAGCTCCTACACCCTTCTTATCCCTGTCATCTGTCTTCTGGTGATGTCATCCTAGCAGGCTTTGTCTCCCCGATAGCCGATGTTCTTAACCATCTTCTCATGACCTATTGGCCATTTATGAGTCTTCTTTGGAGAAATGCCTATTTACATTCTGCATCCATTGTTGAATTGTACAGAGGTGGTGTTGGTCTTCCTGTCAACATTAGTTCCCTGCGTTCTGAGTAGTGAACTGGAGAGATAGCTCCGTAGCCAAGGAAGAGCCCATCCGGCTCTCCCAGAGAGCTGGGGTTCAGCTCCTAGCACTCACCTTGGGTGGCTCACAGTGACAGACTACGCACCCATGTCGGATATACGGTCTGTACCGTGGGAGGGAATCTCAAAGGGCTCCTCAAAGTCAAAACAATCTGAAAAAGAGAACAAATTTGGAGAACTAGCACTTCCTGATTTCAGCCTACTGCAGAGCTACGGTCATCAAGAGGGTGTAGCGGCATAAAGGACGTGTGCGGGCTGGAGAGGCGGCCTGCGGCTTAGAGCACCTGCTCTCGCAGGGGACTCTTCCTCAGTTCCAGTCACTAGCACTGGGTGGCTTACAAGGGCTGTGACTCCAGCCCCAGGAACTCTGCACTCCTGCCCTGTGAGGGCCAGAAGTGTGTTTACTCCCACACAGATAAACAAAAACCACATATACCCACACCTTATTTAATTTTGAGACAGGGCCCCACTGTCTCACAGAACTCATAGAGATGAGTCTGCCTCTGCCTCCCAAGTGGTGGGGATTAAAGGCCTGTGTCACTGTGCCTGACAGTCAAAAACTAAATAAAATAAAGCAGGCCTGGGTGTTGAGGCACATGCCTTTAATCCCAGCACTTGGAAGGCAGACATAGGTAGGTCTCTGTGAGTTTGAGGCCTGCTGAGTCTATAGAGACAGTTCCAGACCAGCAGGGCTACACAGGTCATACTATGTAGCTCTGCCTGGCCTGCTTGCTGTGTAGCTGAGACTGGCATTGAACTTGCAGAGAATTCTGCTCCAGTCTCGCATGTGCAGAAATTATAGGTTTATACCACCAAGTCTAATTTTTCCTTTTTTTAATATCCCCTATTTTTTTTTTTGAGACAGAGTTTCTCTGTAGCTTTGGAGCCTGTCCTGGAACTAGCTCTTATAGACCAGGTTGGCCTTGAACTCACAGAGATCTGCCTGCCTATGCCTCCCGAGTGCTGGGATTAAAGACATGCGCCACCACCGTGCAGCTAATTTTTTATTAAATAAAATTTTCCTATTATTTTCTTTGTTGACTGTGCTTTTATGATATAGCCAAGAAATTATTGCCAAATCTATTTATTTATTATTTTGAATATTGTCTTAGGTTTTTACCGCTGTGATGAAGTACTATGACCAAACATAACACTGGACAATAAGAGTTAATTCCATCTTACAACTGCTTCTTGTCTGTCATCCAGGGAAGTCAGGCAGGAACCTGGAGGCAGGAACTGATGTGGAAATCATGGAGGAATGCTGCTTCCTGGCTTGCTTCCCACAGCTTGCTCAGCTTGTGTTTTCACAGGACCACCGACCAGAGGTGGCACCACCCACAGTGGGCTGGGCCCACCCACATCAGTCAATCAAGAAAATGCGCCGCTGCCTTGCTTACAGGCCAGCGTCATGGAGACGGTCAGCTGAGGTTCCCTGTTCTCAGCCGTGTCTCGAGCTTGTGTCAAGCTGCCAGAACACGAGCTGTACACGTGTTGTATTGATGCCCAGGCAGGCGTGTGTGTGTGTGTACAGGTGCACTTGAGTGTGCAGGCATATGGGGATTGGCACGGCGTATTTTCCTTGACCATACTGTGTTGGGGATCCTCACCCTGCCAGCCACATGGACTGTGGGAGGAGCGGGGATGATCTGTGGAAGCTGAAGGATGAAATTCGGGCCAGTGCTGTCTGTATAGACACTGGACCACAGCCTTCCAGTGGCTGACCTTGGGCTTTACTTCCCTTACACGCATAAACAGAGTAGAACTTGTGATCTGTGACCTTTACAATAAAAATGAGTTCTATTGGCTGAGACACGGAGCTCAGGGCTAGGGCCCAGGAAAGGAGCTGTGATAAGCATAAGGGTAGATTTTATGGGTGGTGAATGCAAAGATTACGGGCCTCTTTCCTAGGGGTGTGCTCTGTTCCCTGCAGGGCTAGGACCTAAGCAGTGCTCAGATACTGGGGGATTCGGGTCCAGGCTGGCTCCTAATAGACTAGCAAAGCATCACCGGGTTGATAGACCACTTTTCTCTCTGGTATACCAGGTGACTGGGCATCATTCATTTCCTTCCCCTGAGGACAAGGCCTATGTGACTGACCGTCCTGGTTTCTCCACTGCGGTCTAAGTGTGCTTCCTATGTTGCTCCCTTCGATATTCAAGCCAACGCCTGAACCAAGAGCTCACCCCTCAGGAGGTCAGTCTAAGCAGCTTGCTCCAGGATGCCTTGTTCCTGCCTCCTAAGTGATTGCTGCAAGCTAGAATTACTGTTAGGCCTCCATTCCTGCCCTGAATTGATATGGATGCTGGGAATCCGAACTCTAGTCCTTACACTTGCATGGGAGGTATTTCACTTGCTGAGTCATCTCCCCAACCTCAAATCTAACTGTCTTATGTAGTCAGAGACTGCTCTTTAATTTCCCAGATGCATAGACCCGAATAAGCACACAGAAACTATATTAAAATTACAACACTGCTTGGCCAGTTACTTAGTCATATTTCTATTTAGCTCTTGCATCTTGAATTAACTCATTTCTATTAATCTGTGTATTGCCATGTGACCTACCAGTAAAGGTTCTAGGAGCCCTTCTCCTTCGGCAGCTACATGGTATCTCTGGTATCTCTTTGACTCTGCCTACTCTCTCTATCTCTGTTCTGATTTCCCACCTGGCTTTATTCTGCTAAACCATTGGCTGAAACAGCTTCTTTATTAACCAATGGTAATAAAGCATCCCCTCTGTATGCTATGACTATGTTTTATTTATTTATTTATTTATTAAAGGACATCAGAACCCGTGGAGACGGAGTCACAGGCCATGGTGAGTGGCCTGATATGGGTGCTGGGAACTGAACTTGAGTCTTCTGCAAGAGCAGTACCTGCTCCTAATTGCATTCTCTTTTTAAATAATTTATTTGTATTTATGTACATTGGTATTTTGCCTGCACGTATGTCTATAAGAAGGTGTCAGATTCCCCTGGAATGGAGAGTTATGAGCCACTGTGGGGGTGCTAGGACTTGAACCCAGGTCCTTTGGAAGAGCAGTCAGTGTTCTTAACCACTGAGCCATTTTTCCAGCCTCCGACTATGTTTTATTATCATTGGTTAATAAAGATGCTGCCTCAGCCTATAACAGGGCAGAATATAGCCAGGCTGGAAGAGATATAGAGAGAGTAGGCAGAGAGATGCCATGTAGCTGCCAAAGCAGAAAGATGTCTCAGAACTTTGCTAGTAGGCCACGGCCTCTGGCAATACACAGAATAATAGAAATGGGTTAATTTTTTTTTTTTTGAGACAGGTTTCTCTGTAGCTTTGGAGCCTGTCCTGGAACTAGCTCTTGTAGGCCAGGTTGGCCTCAAACTCACAAAGATCCGCCTGCCTCTGCCTCCTGAGTGGAAATGGGTTAACTTAAGATGTAAGAGTTAGTTAATAAGAAGCCTGAGCTAATAGACCAAACAGTGTTGTAATCAGTAGTTTCTGTGTGATTATTTGGGTCTAGGCAGCTGGGAAGCAAACAAGCTTACAGTTTTAGTTAGGGTTGCTATTGCTGCACTGAAAAGCCATTACCAAAGCAACTTGGGAAAGAACGGGTTGATTTTTATCTTATACATCCAGGGAACAGTAAAATTGAAGGAAGTCAGGGCAGGAACTCAGACAGGCCATGAACTTGGAGGCAGGAGCTGATGCAGAGGCCATGGAAGGGTACTGCTTACTGCCTTGCATACAGTTCACAGTTTCAGAGGTTTAACCCATTATTACTATGGTGGAAAGCATGGTGGCACACAGGCAGACACGGTGCTGGAGAAGTAGCTGAAATTCTACACCCAGATCCACAGACAGTAGGAGGAAAGCAACACTCGGACCAGCTTGGGCTTTTGAAACCCCATAGCCCACCCCAGTGACAGACTTCTGCATAGATAGGCACTTCAAAAAACTGTAAAACATGGCAATTAAATAACTTAGGGTTCTGTTGACGTGAGGCACAATTGCTCCTGGCAGCACTGATCTATTCCTGAAAAAAGGTTGAGCACTGAAGATACTCTGCTTGGAGCTTTTCTTCTTGGCAAAACAGTCCTTTGGGCAAGGAACTGCCCATGCTTCAACCACTGACAAAATGTACTGTGTCCGGACTGGACAAACAGGATACAAGAAAACAGACTGCCAAACCTTACCAAGACAGGGTAAGACAGTTGAAAATCTTCCTGCCTCTGAAAATGGTCTGTCAGCTACTCAGGCCTTAGCCAAAGTTGGTTGCTCCAATGTTGCAAATGAGACTGGGTGATTGCCCAGGTAGCCAGTTGTCTCTGTCATCTATTATATATTTTGGAAGCTGCTTGATTGCATTTCCTGCTTACTCAAGTAATATATATGCCGATGTAGCGCATGCGTCCGGCCTCTCTTTTACGGCTGAGGGATTCGGTTTCTGATCTCCGTTTCAGCAGAGGATTCTGATTTGTGAGTCTATCCCTAAATAAATGTCTATTTCTCAATT